ATGTCGCCAAAAGAGTCCTTATTGAACAAGAGTCGCAGCAAACGACATGCTCAACCCGCCTCCCTCCCCTCGAAAATGGCACTTGCCCGCCCGCCGCTCTCTTACACCCTACCCAACCTAACTAACCCTTTATTTACACCGCTAAACGAGCTTTGCATATTTACTGTACTAGCAACAGACATTTTACGATATATTGAGAATTATTTGCAATATATTTGGCCAACGAGGATGAGAGGTGATGCGGGGGTAACAGCAGCAGCAGCAACAAGGACGACAAATGTTCCAACGACAACAGCAACAACAACAATAACAACAGCAAGTGCAGTTCGGTGCAAATGCAGCCAGAAAGCTTCTAATTCCGGTACTGAAACCATAAGTCTTTGCCGCATTGTATACACACACACACACATATCACATACACATAAGCACACATATAGGAGAGCACATGTGTATATATGCGCGCAGTCTATCTTTATGTTATCCTGACATCCCAGTAGGAAATTCGTAGATGAATTTATCAAGGAAAACTCATAATGTGAGCATATTACAAATTTTAGGTACTTAAAGCCTTAGCTTAACGTCAGATTTTATAAGATAAAAGACAGAAAAATATACAAAAATTAGGATAAAAAATATTAGGGGTCTAAGAAGTTAGTTAATGTTACAGTTAAGATTGAAAAAGAGAAAGTAATTTTTTTAATGGAAAAGTTAGGTTTAAGCAAGTAAGAGGTTCTGAGATCCTTGCGTTCATACATTCGGACATACGGGCAGACGGACAGACGGACAGACAGACAGACGGACATGGCTAGATCGACTCGGCTATTGGTGCTGATCAAGAATATATATACTTTATGGGGTCGGAGATGCTTCCTTCTGCCTGTTACATACATTTGGATTTTGCACAAATACAATATACCCTTATACCCATTTTTAATGGGTTCAAAAAGCGAAACTCAAAGGTTGCAGAAAGCAAAAATATATAAAGATATATAGCACACGCGCACCCATGTGATTTTCATGCATCTTTCACTCTTGTCCTTCCTGCTGGGCTATTAGCAAAGCTAAATACTTGAGCTAAGACCGAGACTATTTCGGATTGCAGCATCCGCTTAATAACTTAAGTTCGATACACAAGTTTTGCATATATATAAATAGCAAAAACTTATTTTTCTGTTTTCAAAAGATTTTGTTTAATTTACGTAAATTTGCATAAGATACAATTGCGAGTCTGGGCCTGCACTCTGCAGTCTCTAAATTTGTGCGAGAATTGAGCCAAAGTTCAGCTGCGCATACAAAAAATAAAAATAGAAAAAAGGAAAAATAAAAAGAGTCATAGAGTTTATTGCCTTCGGCCTGGGCTGTTGCCGGGGCTAAATTTGAATTCAGCTCAAATTGAAAGTTAGCAAAGGCACCAACAAACACATCCAACCCCCAACCCCTTCCCCATACTCACACTCACCGCTTGATATTTATGCCTTTTCGAATGCAGCTCAGCTTTAATTTAAATGGATTTCTCTGCCGGCTACCATAGCAGACATATGCCAGCATTCGCAATTTCCATTGGAGTGCGCAGCCAGAGAGCAAATGGGGGGTCGGAGAACCCATGACTCCCGACTGGCAACTGGGAAATGGCAAATGGCAAATGGCGACTGGCGACTCCAGCAACTGCCGAGGATTGATTGTGCTTGTTGATATTTTGTCAAATAACGCAAATAAATACACAATTACACACTCAAGTGAGTCCCAGGGAGGGCCGCAACGGACTGAATTCGTGGGGTTAAAACGGACAGGTCTGTGAGTACTCCACCCACCTACAGCATGACCCAACTCCTGGCTGGACGCACCGGCTGGCCGCTCTCTGTTATCCTTGTTTAAAGGATTTTCATTTGTTTAAATGTGCTTTATCGAAAATGGCCAATTGGTAGCTGGCTGTTGTTGTTGCCGCAGCCACGTGAAATTTATTCTAGCCGCACAGTGGCACAAAATATCAGGCATTTGCGCTGGCTCTTTTTAATTCAGGTGTTTAAAGTGTTATATGCCATTATTCGGGACTTAATATAATATGTTGAAAAATTAAATTTATATTTTAAGGTTTGTCAAACAAATCTTAAAAAGGCATATTGTTAGTGCAAATTTAATAACTCTTATTCCCTCTAATAAGCACTTTTCCAGAAATTCCCATTGCCATTCTTTCCACTGTGCGGCGACTTTTGACTTTGTCATTGTTGTCGCTGTTGTTGTTGCTCTTGTTTTTGTTGTTGTTTTATTTGCCACACGCCCGTAAATTCCAATGTAAAATGTTGCATTTATCTTGTAAAAATAATAAATCCAGCAAAGGGACTTTACTCTCTCACGCTTGGCAGCACACAGCGAGGAATGGTGAGGGGAATGCTGAGCGGATAGGACTGGGCGTGGTGACTATTGTTAGCTAATAGCCAATGCTCGGCAGATGGAGTTGCGTAGACTTGGCTAATTTTATAAATAGTCAAAAGGCAGGCCAAATGTGAAACATTTAACCCTTGACAGAGGGTAATGATAGAAGCGTGAGCTGCGCGATGTAATAAAAAAGAAACGCACATTGCCATTCATTTAATTTATTTATTTGCTGCTGTTTCATTGGCGCAAATCCCGAATACTATGCGATAAATTTAGTAAAATGTGAAAATTGTGTGTGCATTTTGGCGCATGCAGTTTATATACACGGACACAGAGACACACACATAGGCACAGAAACACACATGTGCATATCGTTTGTCAAGCGAGGATTTTCATTATAAAATATCGCCTGGTGTTGCGGCCCGAATATGGAAATGCATTGGGCCAAACAAACTTGCAAAAGAGTCTGCAATTTATTTTAAAATAAAAGTATCTAGTGTGACAAATAGTGTGAGATATGTTTTTGCGCAATGCGGCCAACACAGCCTCCGGACGCCAGCCGCCAGCCTCCCGTTACGCCCAACACCCCCTCGACTGCCCAGCTCTTGCACCGAAATGCGACATGTGACGCGGCGTCGCTGATTTATTTGCATACAATAGCGCAGACGTGCATAAAAAATATAAAAAATTCAACAAGAAAATAAAAAATAAACAACAACAACAACTGCAAACGTAACGCCCATTTTTGACGCCAGCTTGCAACGGGACAAGCTCCAGGGGGCGGGTTGAAGTTGCCAAATGCAGGTGGGCACCTAGCGGGGGCTGGGCGCACAGTATGCGACCTCCGAGAGTCAATAAAAGATACATTTTAAATGGCAAATCAAAATATATTTACTTATAATCGAGGTGGAAGAGGAGTGGGAGGCACTTTTATATGATGTGTAAAAAAGGCTAGTTCTATTTGGAGTTCAGCTGAATAATTCAGCTAAGCACCACTCACTGTGGTATCTAGAAGATACAATAGATCTTAATTTGTTTATTTTTTATTTAAGTTCTTGGTAGGAAATTAATTAAATAAGAATTTTATACATGAATATTTTTTATAAAGATATAATTAAGAACGAGAAAGTAAGGAGATTTTATACCCTTGTAGACATTTGCCTCTTGTCGTTATGTAAGAATAGTGAAGCTAAGTTTGATGAAGATATCTAGAAAAACAGATTATTCTTCCATACAAGATCTTACTTTTCGACCGATCGTTAAAACTAAGAGACTAATTTGCATAGAAACAGACAGACCGGCAGGCGGACTTACGGACATGGCTATATAAACGCTGCTTATTTTGCTGATCTAGAATACATATACTTAATGGGGTCGGAGACGTTTCCTTCAATGCGGTTCACATTCCATAAAAAAGATTGAATACCCTCTACAAGCCTATTTATATTCGATCCTTGTAAATACTAATTGTATAACTATAATATAAAAGACATCTTACTAATCTCTCCCCGTCTGCACTTGGGTAGTTGGAGCCCAAGCTCTAAAAAATGGCTTTATTAAGTCTTCAGCTCCTCGCCCTCGTCGCAATTCATCATTTGGCGCCATTTTGCGTAGCGTCAAGTTGCATTTAGTTGTTATTTATGCAAATTTAGCATGTTTCAACTTTTCGCCAAGTGCGTCGAGTCGTTTTCGATTATTTAAAACTTTGGGCGAAATTTAGTAGTGGGTGTGGCGGGAGTCCTTTTAATGCGCGCACCTGACGCGCTTCAATGTCTTACTGCCGGCTCCCTGGCACATAACGGTGACTGGCACCTGGATTATGGCTAAGACGGAGACTGAGACTGAGACTGTACTGCGGCGTGCTGTGTGCATAATTTTGTGCGCTGCTGTTAGGACAAATAAATTGTAGACAGCTAAAGTTATTAGATTAGCATTAGGTACAAGGCGGAGCGAAGTGCTGCTCCTTCTTGTGTGCTCGCTAAGCTTGAAATTATGATTTAGCCGGGTTATTTACATGCATATAGAGGAAATAGAGGATGCCGCAAAGTTGGCCAAATTTATGAAAAACTCGCCGCACTCTTGGCAGTCATGTGTTTTTTATAGTGCCCCCCCAATCTAAAACGACAGAAGCCACAAAAGTGCGAAAATTTCCAATTGTTTATCTTGACAGTGCTGAAAAGCGGATGAAGGCTTTATTTTGTAATTTTTAAGCAACTGTGGAAATTTTCAAAAACCAATTTTTAAATATATTTAATAACATATAAACAATATTTGATGTTATTTTCTTTTTTGGCGTTTTTTATTTTGTTTTGCTCAAAATAGATTTTTAGTTATTTAATATTTGTGAATACAATAAAAATAAAACATAATCAAACAATTATTCTCAATTAAATACGATACATTTTAGAATTATAATTTTGCATAATTCGTAATTTAATGTTTTTTTAAATCGTAATATTATTTTATCTGTTATTACTTAAAAAAAACGAAACTAACCCGTTTTGACTCTTACACAATTCTTTTTTTTTATTATTTGATTACTAATATATATAAACAAAACTTTGAGGCATTTCTTAATCTTAAACACTTTCAACTAAGTATATGTTTTCTCTATTGATTTTCAGGTAAGAGATACTCAGAATCTCTTGCGGGATCACTTCTTCCAGACTGGCTAGGTAAGTGCACTTTTCTTTATATTCATTTATTAGCTTATAGTTTACAAATATGTTTTCTTTTGTTTTTTGTCCAAAACAAATATATTTTAAAAGAAGTTTTGTTTTAAATCATGCAATTATTTTTGTTTTCAAATTTTCTTATAAGTTGCTCTCCAAAAGCCGCGCTCAGAAATATTTGAATTTTGTTTTGAAGAGTGCCCGAAACCCAAATCCCAAAAGAATCGCTACATTTGACAGAAATTCCCGAAACAAACGAAAGAAAAACTAAAAAGCCCTTTGTCCAATCCGTTCATATAATCCAAAATTGTTGAACCCATCAAAATGCTTCTTCGAGTTTGGTTTTTCTTTACTTGATTTTTGTTGTTATTGTTGCTGTTGTTCTTGCGCCTATTGCATCCTCTTCATTTGGTGTGTCCAGTGTGTCAGTCAAAGGAGCGCGCCCCAAGGCCCCCCAGAGAGGTAAACCCAACAATATACTCAAATACCAATAAATTGTAAATGTTGTCTGCATTTGCCCAATTTTCAAATACATATGTGCATACTGTATATAAACTTTAGCATGTGCATGCCCCAAGAGAGAGCGAGAGAGAGCGTGAGAGAGTGAGAGAAAGTAAATTTACTGTAAAGATGTTTGCGATATGAGTTTAACAATATAATATGTGAAATTATCAGCTCATAAAACTTGCCAAATAATTGGCAATTATTCAGTTTGTCAACCAGCATAGACATAGACACACACACACACACACACAAACACACGCACACAGACACTGACTCGATTACTCATAAGGTTTTCTTTGCTGCACAATTAAAGCCGCCCACAAAGTGGGCGCCTTTTCCCGTTTCTTGATTTTTTGTTGGTTTTTCTGTTGCACTTGGAAAAGTATCACTTGGCACGCAAAGAAAAGCGAGTGAGAAAATTGGAGAGAGCTAACCACAATTTACAAAGCGTATCATTTTGTTAGCAATTTTTCAGCATGCTGCACTTCACAGTAAACCGCTTTAAGGCACGCAGCCAGCTGCACCAAACACCAAACACCACACCCAAGCCACACACCACCCCACTCCACCTATCGCATGTAACCTATGTACATATAGCACCCATTTATATATATAGCATAGAGTATAAGCCAGGCAGTGTCCAATTAAACACAATTGAGATAACAACTCTCGACGCTGCAAAACACAAACAATTCCAATTGTTAATTGTTGTTAATTTCTGTTTTTAGTTGTGTTAACCAGGCCAAAAGTGTCTGCCTGTCAGCGACAGGCGTTCACAATTCGGGGGATTGGCACTGCAAGAGTCGCCCTCGAATATGCAACCTTTGCAGTTTTCCGCTTGTCTAAATGTTGTTTGTTTATTGGCAATTTATACAAACGCATAAATTACTAACAAGCACACACAGATACACATACACACACACTCTGAGATACTCGCAAGAAAAACATAAACAAACTTCGCTTACTAAATGCCACTTGCCAATCGTAATCAATTCTCATGTGTGTGTGTCTATAAAAAAAGGGACCCAAACGACTGTCGCTGACAGACAAACAGCCAACTGAAGTCAGCATCCGTATCCGCATCTTTAGATGTCGCTCTTGTCGTATCTGTATCTGCACCCCATAGTCGAGGCGGTGCGCATAAATATTTATCTGAATTGTTGAAATCTTCAAATGCAGAAACGTAAAATCCATTAGAAAATTAATAAGGAGCCCATAGAAATATACTTACTGCTATATATACATATATATCTTTATATATATATATATATATTTGTAGACATAAATGTGGTTTTGCTCACCCTGTAAAAAACATGTCATTTAGAATGCCATTGAAAGATTGGCTGGAGACAATAGATTGCGAAGTGGAGCGGGGGAGGCACATGAAATTAAATTGATTAAAATGCTGCCGGGTCTGGATAACGTTTTGACTTAAAGCTGATTGGGCCGCAAGTTAATGTTTCTTTTCTCATCGTCTGCAAAAGATATATTAAGAATTTTGATACAACTTTAGAAATGTATATATAAACAAATTTATGCATGCAGCTACATAACTATGTGTATATATTTATATATATATTGTACACTCTTATATTTAAATAATGATAAAACGAAACAACGAAATAATGTTGAAACAAAAATTGTATATAGTATATTTATTTAAATATAATCTATTTATAACAAGCTCCACTTATATTAAATATGATACCGTATAATAGCTAACTAATCGACTTTGCCATAAATAATAATAAATAGTGTAATTCGATTAGATAAAGAAATATCTGACATTCTCAAAATGATTGCAACTTTTAAAAAGCCAGGAAATCAATTAAAATGTTGTCTCTTTAATATAACACTCTATATTTATGCCAGATATTATATAAAATTAATACCAGCTAATAACGTATATAAACTTGTTTACAAGCTTGTAAATCTATTCACAATCTCAAATTCGAATTGGTATATTCGTATTCTATTCACAATCTCAAATTCGAATTGGTATATTCGTATTCGTATTGCCAGCTGACCTGGCTATTTATAATGGCCTAGAAACTTTGCCAGAGAGATCAATATTTCGAATATTATCACGTGATCGGATTCGTGGTCTCGTGGCCATATGCTCGCACACACTTGGGAACTGGAACTTGTATTCATAATTATAACAAAGCGGCTATTTATATAGATAGAAACACAAGAACTGCGTGTAGCAAATGTCTCGTATCGTCGGGCCGTCGGGCTGTCGGGTTGTCGGGCTGTCGGAGTTCCATGACAAAGGGGGTAGGCGCCAAGCGGCACGCAATTCACAATGAGAGGAGCATAATAATGTGCAATAAACTATCTAAATTTGTTGAATTGTTGATAAACTTTGGCGCCACTTTGTAGAAAAACATGAAACGAAGCAATTGGTAACGCGCCTGTCCCGCGCCCCGCTCAAGATCACCCTGGCCGCAGCTTTGAAGTGGGCAACAAGCTGAGCGTGTGCCAAATTGCCACATGAGTTGTTTTTTCTAAAGGTAATTTTTGTGGAATATTTAGTTCAGCTTATTTTTTAATTGCAGTTCATTTGGACTGTGGAGCTAGAGTTCCATTAGGAAAAAAGCACTTTGGCGCAATGTCGAACAGTTCGGTAGCAATTTCCGGTATATTGTAAAGTTTTACCTACTGTGAGATAACTATTTACAAAATTATCAGTTCGCCTGACATTTGACATTCGCAGGTAAAACACACAAACTGGCTGTAGGTCCAAGTTAATTATTATCTGCAATTGTTTGTGCGTGTGTGTGTGCGAGTTTCTGTGTGTGTTTATCTGTGTGCGTTTGAGCTGTATCTCTATCTCGCACATGTCGCTGGCGCCACAGTCCGCTTCCATTTAATTGCCCCTCGGAGAAGCTTGGCAAATTAGTTAATTGGCGGCCAGTTTATTGTGGCTGCAGTAAGTGGCAACTACTTCCCTGAAAGACAATCTAAACGAGCTCACATAAGTTCCATTTACATACGTGTATATAGTGCACATAGTATATTTGTAAAAGCAACGCTGGATACTCATAGAGATTCTAGAGAGAGTGGGCCATAAAACAAACCTAGTCTTAAAATTATTTAAAAATAATAATATTTATAGAACAAACTTAAAAAAGGACTAACTTTTAGCATAGAGCCGTACTAAGTTAAAAAATAAATATATAAAATAAATACTCGATTGTGGGGCCTTGAGGTTTATATTAGAATCAATTTTATTTGGATTCGTCAATTTTGGAAAGAGTATCTTAAGAGTAGATTCTTTGTATTTGAGTCTGCAATTATTTCATTTGCATATTTAATACTGATAGGATATGTTTAGGTTCCATATTGAAGCTGCAGTGCAGACAGATTAAATGGATAGTTAGACATATTTACCTTAAAGCTGATCAAGAACTCAGTTGAGTTACAATTCCTGCACCTAGAAATTGTCTAATTAGAACGTTTCGCATCGAATCAAATTAATAGCACACTCAACATTCGTTTTGAAGCTAACAGTTTGTATTTTGTTAATTTTTTAACTGCTTATATCTTTTTTTATTGAACTTTTGCAGTTTGATAAACGGATCTGAATTTTAATAAAGCCGAGTATAAGCGAGCAACCATTTAGCATTAACAAAAGATATGCAATGAAATTATGCAAAACAACAAAATAATACTTCTATGACCTACTATAAAAATAATAACAATGTTAAAAAAATATAAAAATAAGCGCTATCTACCTGTGCGTTTGGGCAAATTGAAGAAGTCGCAGTTAACGACGTCCTTTTATTGATTTTCGTACGCCATTAAATTTTGCACAGTTACCCATATTTTCCGCCATTTGCCAGGACGCTTACTAACCCCCAATTCGGCAGCCCCCAAGCCCTGCCCGCCCCCTGGTTGTGGGGCAATGTGGCAGATATTTTTCTTTTGCCAGCTCAGCAGATGAATGCGTGTAATTTTCGGTTTGATTTATGCCCGCTGACCCCCGCTCCAGGCAGCACATTCGCATCCGCCCGCAGCCCGCAGCACACATGGCCACCCAGCTCCGCCCCGCCTCCTGCCAAGGTTGGCAACCTCAGATTTGTTACGGGAGCTGCAGGCGCTTCTGGGTTTGTGCGTGTGCGTGTGCGTGTGTGCGATTCCTGCTGGCTGCTGGTCCTTCTTTTATCGCCCAAAATGCTAAACGCAGGCAATACATTTCAGCCATCCTTTGGCTTTCTCAGGGCGGGCTTTATTACATTAGGCGTTCGTAAAATAAAAATTGTGCCACTTTCTCAAAAACACGCACAACAATACACACGCACACACACTTATCTGTGCGTGTATGTGCGTGTGTGTGTGTGACACTGTGGAAATCAACCTGCTGCGGCAAACTACCGAAAAAAAGGGCAGGCCAAGCAGAAAAACAGGGCCTTGGTCTGGGCGGGAAAATGCGAAAGTGGTTTGGGGAATGGTTGTGGTGGCAGTTCTGCCAGGACACCAAATGCGCTGTGCCTTGT